TCACTGAATACCCTGCCCACAGAAGACAGAAGACATCAGATCCTTTTTACAGACAGCTGTGAGCCACCATGCACATGCTGGAAATCAAACCCTGGCCCCCTTGAGGAGAGACCAGTGTTCTTAACCACTGAGTCACCTCTCCAGCCCTAAGTAAATGTCATTAAAAAAGAAAAAGAACTCACAGTTACACCATCGAATTTGCAGTGGTGTTGGAAAATAAGCAGCCGGACTGAGGTAGAAAGGTTGCAAATGAAAGACTAGCCTGAGCAATTTAGGCAGTGTCTTATAATAAACAAACAAACAAACGAACAAATAAATAAGAACCCCGGGGATATAACTCAGTGACACAGTGCCTGCTTAGCCTGTGTGAAAACCTAAGTTCTACACCTAGTACTGGGGTAGGGGGGAGTCAATCAATATCACTCTTTCCCTTCTGTCTGTTGCTAGTTTTATGTCAACTTGACACAAGCTAGAGTCATCACGGAAGAGGGAGCCTCAGTTGAGAAAATCTCTCTGTAAGATCCAGCTGTAGGCAAGCCTGTAGGGCATTTTCATAATTAGTGATTGATGGGGGACGCCCAGCCCATTGTGGGCGGGGCCACCTCTGGGATGGTGGTCCTGGGTTCTGTGTTCTATGGGAAAGCAGGCTGAGCACGCCATGAGGACCAAGCCAGGAAGCAGCATCCCTCCACAGCCTCTGCATCAGCTCCTGCCGTCAGGTTCCTGCCCTGTTTGAGTTCCTGTCCTGACTTTCTTCAGTGGTGGACCATGAATTAAGCCAAAGAAACCCTTTCCTCCTCAACTTGCTTTTGGTCCAGACTCTTCATCACATCAATCGAAACCCGGGCTACGACATCCTGTTTCACTTCTCTCTCCTTTTCCTTCCTTTCCTCCCCTCTTTTCCATCCTTTCTTCCCGTCCTTTTATGATGCCCAACCCGAGTGAAACTGTGTAAGCAAAGTGCTCAATTAACAGAGGTGCCTAGAATTGGGTCCCACAACGTATGCAGGTGAGGGGCCTCTGCAGGGGACTGCCTGGCACGGTGCTGGAGCTGGAGTGCCGAAAATAAGGCAAAAACACCCACACGGAGAGACAGTCTGCTATGTGGTGTTGAACACAACAGTGAGGAAACTGAACACTTAATGAAAGAGGATTTCAGATAATCTCCAAGAAAACTTCCTTCTGGAAAGGGCTAAAGTTCGGGGCGTGGCGCGCGGGGGTGCGGGGAACCTCTGTCCTTGTCACTACTTATGGCTCTAGGACTGTGACCAGTGTGATAATTCTCAATTTAAGACCAACCGTCAAGGTTAGGGCATATATGTTACGGCAAAGGGAGAAGCTTCATCTCGTATTTAAGAGTGTTTTATAAACCCAGGAAGGAGGCTGGGGAGCTGGCTAGGTGGAAAAAGTGCTTGGCATGCAATGAGGGGAGCTCAGCTCCCCAGCACCCACATAAAAGCGCGGCTTCCGTGGACGCCCATCTGTAGTTCAGGAGGCTGACTCGGGATTCCTGGGCAAGCTAGCTAGCTAAACCGGCACAGCCCCGGAGTCAGCGAGACCCTGCTTCAACTAAATGAGATGAACAGCGATCGAAGACACCCCGTTAAGAACCCGTGGTCTCTGCACACAGGGGCTCCTCGCTGCGCCGCCCAGGCTAGCTCGCTGACCCGCAGGCTTTGATCCCTGGTGACGTCAGCCTGGACCGCCCCTGAACTCCTGGCTGGCGTGCTTTCTCGCATGATTTCACGACCTACTGCTCCGTGTGCTTTGCTGAGGTGGCACTCTGCCTCCTAGGGACCGCCTTACCCTGCCCTGTTTGGTCTGGTTCCGTGACCTCCAAGGCAGCGGTGGGCCGGAGCCCACGCCCGAGGTTTCTGCGTTCCTCCCTGGCTGAGAGGGAGGTCCGTGGAGGACGTTACCGCATCCCTCGGGAGGCTCTCCCTCGTCCTCAAACCCGAGGGCGACCGCAGGACGCGCGAGCCGCTCCGGGGCCAGGGGCGGCGCCACCTGATTGGAGCAGGCGCGGGCAGAGCCGCAGCGCGGCCGCTCATTGGCCGCGCGGGGTCAGGCGCTGTGGGCCGAGTGGACGCCCGTGAGCCTTGGGCTGTGAGTGATGGGCAGCGACTCGGGCGGCTCCCTGGGTTGGCCTGGGTGCGGCCTGGCTGAAGGCCAGGGTAGGAGTGTGAGCACCACCTGCGGTAGAGCAGGGCTGAGACCTTTCTCGCAGCCACCGCCTTCTTCGCTCAGGACGCTCTTAAGGCTTTAATGGGGCATTCGGTCCGCACAGAGCGCTGAAGGTCTATAGGACAGTAGGGTTGGTGGGGGCACAGGAATGCCCGAGGTGTGTGCACTTTAGTGACTCTTAAGCAGTTGTGTGTGTGTGTGTGTGTGTGTGTGTGTGTGTGTGTGTGTGTGTGT